ACACACACACACACACACAACTACCATTGACTTCAGTGGAACTTGTGCAACCAAGGGTGGAACTTTGGTCCTGTATTACCAAACATCCCAATTCTGGTTTAGATAACAAGCAAACTGTTAACTTGTTACTCTGTCTTCATCACATTTGCCTTAAGTTGTATTATAATGGAGCACGTATTCATGGTGTTCGTTCCACTATAAGCATGGCCTGTCTTCCACCCCTCCTCCTTGTGAAATTGCTGGCACATTGCCATGCTAATTATTCACAGTCTTATAGATGTCCTTGGTCCTGATTTATTGTTTTGCCTGTTTGTTTGTTTCCAAGTCTCATCATAAGATGTAAGTCATACCAAAACCCGAAGAAGCTATATTTCTTCTTCTAGTAGTTGCAGACATATGTTCCTCTCAGGTGTTCATGCCTAGCATACCAGAGACACAGACTTTTTCCCCCGCAGCAGTACCAGTCGGGGCAGTGTGCTCACCCTATGCCTCCTCGTGGTTTTTTGTCTCTGCCTTTCACTTTTCTGTAATTATTTATCTTGTCCCTGTCACGTCCTTCCTGTCTTTTTCTAGATCTTCAGTAAACCTTTTTCCTCTGTAGTTTTTGTTCTTAGTGCTGGGTTTCTTACTCAAGGGTTTTCTTGGTAAAGTTTTGTAATGTTCTTCCTGATTTCTTCTCCCAGGTTTATTCCTATTACTTTGTACAGGTTTAAACAGTACTTTTTATTTCTGCATTCAAATCTCTCTTGTTTCTTTTTTTGCCCTCTGGCAATTGTCTCACCTGTTTAGTGGGGTGACTGTGGAATTTCATCATCTTTATCCTGGCCAATATTTTCCTGTCGGTGCTTATTCATGAGATCAGTGTTAGAATTCTTTCCCTTGGGATTTCTTCAAAGCCCTTAATCATTTATTGGAGAATTGTTATGTCATATGGGAGTTTAAAGCAGCTGGATAAATTCAGTGCTGTTCTGTGCCACCTTTCTTTCTTTATTCGTTTGTAAAAATGATGGTACAATGGAGACAAAACCTGAAATAAACTATTATTTTTGTGCCTACCTACATGCAGGAAAGAAATAGGCAAATTTTTAAAACATTCACTATCACTGCTAAGAACAAGTGAGGAGTCCAGTGGAAGATTTGGCTATACAAGGAATACAGGAGCAGGGCCAGATCCTCGGCCCCAGCTAATGAGCAGAACAAAAGAGACTTAAAAATGCCCTAAAGTTCAGTTGACTTCAGTTGGTTTTCCATCTTAAAAATTCACCAAAGGCCCTGTGGCTGTGTGTCCATAAGTCCCTGTGGTGTGCTCTTTCTCAGTGCTCAAGGATTTATGCATGTGACTTCCTCACATGTTGAGATAAGAATGGGCGCTTCTTGAGAGGGGGAATAGATTTTTGAAGAACCTTATATGTGTATGGTGATGTTCATGGGTATCGCAAGAGGGAGTATGTAATGTGTTTGGAGCCTATAGATAGTGTCCGAACACAGGAACTACATGAGAACAAAGAATCTTCCAACCCAGAAGATGGGCAGATATGTCTTGACCGTCCAGACATCAAAAGACATGACTATAATGAACAGTTGTATGAGACCCATCTGCTGTGACTGTGCTATCTTTCAAAAACATCCCAGGCGAATGGATGTAGCCTAGGGATATATTGATAGACTTTACCCAGGGGGATATGGGAGGTAGACGTTCAGGAATTTAAATGGCTATAGACACACATTCAGACAGAGGTGCTTCAGAATCAGATGCTTTGGCATGCCGCGTCTGACAGAAAATTTTAAACATTGCAATGGAAGCGTGTCTGACTTCTAGCATGTTTGAAGAAAAGCAAAGTACATTTCCTAAGTATCCCTTCCTCAGAGCTTTTCCTTAGCTATGATACTAAAGTGTGAGCAGTGCAATGCAAATAGAACAGGTAGCCAGGCAGCCAAGTGGAATTGTAAGTAGTCAGACAACCTCATGAAAATTAGTGTTTTCTCTTGGCATTTGTTTTGTACATTGTGCAAAATTTGTTTTCTGATTATGTGTAAATATTTGTATGATAAAAGATGCTGTGGTTTTATTTCTCTCATAATACACCTCTACCTTGATATAACGCGACCTGATATAACACGAATTCGGATATAATGCGGTAAAGCAGTGCTCCGGGGGGGTGGGACTGCACACTCCGGCGGATCAAAGCAAGTTCAATATAACGCGGTTTCACCTATAATGCGGTAGGATTTTTTGGCTCCCGAGGACAGCGTTATATCAGGGTAGAGGTATATATTTTTATATGTGTTCCACGGTAAATCCTTGTTGTAATGCCTTCCCATTGGGATAAAGACACAGTCCATTGGTCTTTATATGTAAATTGGAAGAGGGTATTTTGTAATCCAGGATACGTCGGTTTAGACTTTATGGGGCTAATTGCAAACACAGAGTGGACTTGGATTGTTGGGTTTGTATAAAGAATACATCCAAATTGTAGCTGTATCTTTGCACAGTTTCAGTCTGAAATCCACTAGTTATTGGTGGTGTGTTATTTGTTTCTACGTCAGGTATCAGTCTGCTGTCTCTAACCTTTACAAAAACTTTTTCAGGTTGTTAAACTGAAAGGCCAAGTCCTATCTGTGATGTATCGTTTTCGTACCAAAAACCGGGAGTGGATGTTAATCAGGACCAGCAGCTTCACTTTTCAGAATCCTTATTCTGATGAGATTGAATACATCATTTGCACCAACACTAACGTTAAGTATGTGCTTTTCATGGAGCTTGAAACGCTTTTTTAAAAGAATTTAACCTAAAAAAATGCTGTTGTATCCTGAACTTGAGTTTTTACATGGGTTCTCATGGTGGCTTATTTCCAGTTGCATTCATTTATACTTACCCCAAACTATAGTCGGGTTGCCTACACTACAAGTTCTCACAAATAACTGTTTCTGTTTACCATATATTGCTGCATATGATGTGTCATTAGCATATGGGTGCATCACAGATTAAAAACAAATAACTATAACTCATGAAATCAGAAAAGCCCAACAGGCTTGATCCAGCCTGCATTGAAGGCTAGGACAAGGCCTCCAGCAACACAACATCTGCCCAGAGCAGGATAGCTTAGAGAATTAATAATAAGGGTTGGCGATTTTCACCTCATGGTATCTAGTCCGAATCCAGTTCAGTTCAGTTGTGAGACTGCAGAAAAGTTAGCCCAGTTCATAAGCCCAAAGGGGAAGCTGCAGAGCTGCTTAAAGGAATGGCAAACTCATGTAAACAAATTTCCTGCTTCTTGTGTGCTATAACTGTGTACATGTCCTGGACCTGGTCCTCTTCTCCTTGACTCATCCCTAGTACCTTGCAGCCAGTGGCAGTTTGCTAGAGTAACTACTGAACAGACCATGGTAGGAGAAGATTGGCACTTACCAGGAGTTGGGGTCGAGGTTACAAAGATGAACAGCTCCTTTGATTCTTTTCATTGGCAGGATCACAGCAGCAGCTTGTGTTCGGTTGGCAGCTTAATGCTGCTCCAGTCCTTTAGAGCCATGTGCTCAAATCACTGTGAGTCTAAATTATTCTGGGCACAATCTGTGACTACACCCATGAGAGAGGTTTAAGATGTTTAATCCCCAAACTGGTATTGTAGAGCTGCTTCCAAAGTTCCCCTAAGAATCCAGTGCAGCCTAATTCACCGCATAACCTCATAACACAGACTGTCAGAGCCAGCAGCTGCAGACGCTAACCTGAGATGTTTTCTTCTGTTATGGATCTTTTCCCAATAAAATAATAATCTGATATTTTAAAATGTGCTTTGGACTAAACTCGGTGTTTTTTTTAACAAGTTTAAAACTCAAAGGGAAAGTTGAGATCTGTGTTACAAACCTGTTAGAATGTGTAATGGAGATCTCAAACAGGCACTTAACTAATGTAGATGGGCACTAATAATTTCACTATCACAACAAACTCTCTTCTGGCTTTGCATTTTATAAATATGGTAAGTGTTCTTCCTCTGTTTCAACTATCACCCTATATTCTACCTTGTTGCTTAGGAGAGCGTTTTGACAATGACATAGACTTGGACACTAAGGGCCACTTGTAACCCAGCCTCACCCTCATATGCCCATTTTTGCATATACTACCTGTTAGCCTATGCACCAGAGTTTATAAGGCCTGTAACTTGGTTATGAGTTAAACTCCCAAAGAGTCCTAGGAGTCATGCTGAGAAGAAAAAATGCTAGTTTGCTAAGAGTTACCAGAAAGATGTAACCTTTACAAGAATTGTTCAGCAAAGAATATTATTTTTGTAGTGTCCTAACAAACAACTATAATGTTAGCTTAAGTCAGCAAAAATCTGATGTGCCAGACAGATGAACAGATGTTCAAATGTACTGGAAATTTATGGGCAAAAATAATGTTATTAAAAATAAGAAGTTCCTCTGTGGAAAAAAGAGAACATAAGTTACAGTGAAAATATACAAAGCCCTATAAATGTTCCAGATTGTAAGCTAACTTCAGAACTGTGTCAAACAGTGTAAGTTGTTTGTGATCAGGCTGCAAAGGGTTTTTTTTTACAGATTGAGGTATGCACCGTTCTGTTATGCACTGACCTAACAATACTTAAAATAAATGGTTAGAATTGGCTCTGAGGTCTCTTTAGTTGCCAACTAAAACCCTTGTTGGTAACACATCAACTGTGCCTGAAAAAAAGGACATACTGCCCATTTGGAGCAAATAAATCTTGTGTATTGAAATCAGGGAGCTGGTTATTCAGCTGCCTCATTTGCATGCCCAAATATTTATGTATGGGGGGGAGGGAGATGCACACCCATACTTTTGCACATAATCATTTGCATACATAAAAATAGGCATGCAAAATTAGAGACAATTGCTGATAACTGGATGCCAACTGAAATAATTGGCTTTTGTTCCCAGGGTCCAGAGATCTAAATGTTGACCTATAGATTAAGTAGTGTTGACTATTGTTCCATACTTTCCTTTTCGAGATACCTTGGCTCCCTAGCACAGAGTGGGATTAATAAAATTGTGCCAGTATCTGGATCCTGTCATATCTGTCCTTACTTGGTTTTAAAAATAAACCAGAGATGTTGCCCTAATAAGGAGATTGGGTGCTGTTCGTTCGACAGATGATGTTTCCATGTATTCTCTTATACAAAATGACATTGCTAAATATGTTTTGCCTTCCCTTTTTGTGGAGAGCTGTGACACAATAAAAAAAATCTGTTGGTTTTGGTATTTTATTTTTTTTTAAAAGCTTGTAAATTTAAGTACTAGATTAGAAGGAACAGAACATATCTATCTATGTTCCACTGACTTATTTTTTCTTTTCCCCATTTCCTCTCCCCTCCATACACACATGCACAGTGCAACTCTTACTGTTATGGCTGACTAGCTATTGCTATGCGTCGCCTGTGTATGGATACATTATTTTCTGGATACTTTGGGGCAGAGTAAAGGGCAGCTTTTCAGAATTAGCCTCTGATTTGCATGCCCATTTTTTGCATGTCTAATTGTAACTGAATCGGTGGAGGTGCATCTCTTGCATGCACAGATGGCTAATTTGCATATGGACACTGGGCCCAATAGGCTGATTTACTTGAAGACACAACGGGTGCATATTCTCTTTTACAGATGCTGTCAACTGTGTGTGCAAAATCAGAAGCAGGTTTTGATTTGTCTATAAATTTTATAATGCATCTAGCAACATAGTATATTGGCTCAAGAATGCTTAAAAATGTGGCCATAATTATTTCTTTGAGACAAGGGACCAGGTAAACATATGTTTAATTCTATTCTATATTTCTACAATATCCTTAGTTTCAATGTCTGCCTGTCTGTCTCTATATCTTTACGCAAACTTAGAGCAGAAAATGTTTGCAAACAACTGGATATGGCAGTTGTTCACACAACAAGTATGTCCCCTGGGCTTTCTCATTTAAAGAATAGCCATATTTGGAAATGATGAACAATAATAGGTTAAAAGGGGCCTTTACAACTCAGCATTTTCAAACTATGCAGATGGCTTACCTAGAAAGGAAGTATGCGGGTATTGTGAGACATATTTGTCTTTGTCTATGTAGATCTGGCCAGATTGAAGATTTATCACATGCTCTACTTTCTTAAAACCTTGGTGGTCACCTGAAAATTAAGTGATTAGCCCCATTCCTGGCTCAGATGCCTTTTACCATACCAGCTTAAAAACTAGAATACTGGTTATGTCGTGAAAATGTTTTGATTGTATGGGCTGTGGCCTTCTTTGCCTGCTCAGCCACAAAAACAAGAAAAAAAGTGTGTGACTTAGCTTAAATAATATATTTCTAACCCTTGTTGTTTTATTTTTAGAATTTGTATTAGGGTGATAATTTTAAAGATCTTGGAGGAAGGGGGTTTATCTTGTGGGGCTTTCTGTCTTTTTTTTTTTCTTTTATCTTTTTCATTTTAAAATTTGTATTCATTTTACTGAGCTGTTAGTTTTAAAACATGTATTTATCTTATAGGCACTGTGACCTGAGGCTGATGCTATATTAAGACGTTTGATTTGATATATAGATATATGTAGATAAATAGCTATCAATTGAATTTAGAGAGATGTCTGTTTTGCCTGCCAGTCCTCTCTATTAATAAAAAGTTTTCATTTTGTGTTGCCCAGTGAATGCAGTTTGTTTTCCAAGAGGACTGTAGAGGGCAGTGCTGGTCATAGTTGTTTTTTTAGAATATTGCTTTGGGACTTGAAGCAGTTGACTTTCCCAGCTTAGTTTCTGTGTGGAAGGATAATTAAACTTTGGGTTCAAGTGTTCATTTAGTGCCGTGCCAAAAAAAAAAAAAGTTAGCTTGGTGTCTTTTGGATGTAATCATCCAAAAGAAACTTCCTGCAGAAATGAAGTGTTTAATGTTTAGCATTTGTACTGTGTTCAGCTGAAAAGGAGACCTCTACACGTCACCTCACCACATCATCTTCCTCTTTGAGTTCCAGAAAAAATTGACTAACATTTATTTAACGCACAGGTTGAACTGCCTTTGAATGAACCCATCTACCCTGAGCTGAATGAACAGTTTCTTAACTTTATATGCACGTAGAGCAGAAATGGGTTGTTTCCTGACCTTTAGAGATTTTGATGTTTTCATTTTTTCATAAACCTGATTGGATTATTGTGTGTATTGATGAATCCTGGACTTCTGTTGGTCTTGAAATATTTCAGTGATAGAGTTGCAGTCCTCTGAAAGATCTGGTGCAGGTTGCTACCAGAGGCGGAATTCTGGCTGAATCAGTGGTCAGCTCTGGTGTGGTTGATTCCTGACTCTGATTCAGGTGCAGTAGTGAGTAGACCACTTGTGAAATCAGCTGTTTCAGTGAAATTCTAGCCCATGATAGTGAAGATATCACAAACCTTACTTTCAAAGTAGTAACTGGGACCATGGGCATCTATTACTAATAAAAATAGACTAGGGGTGATATCTCAAGTCTGCATCCACTCATTTCTCCCCAACAAGAAAACTGCACACACTAAAGTTTGAATTCTTCTTGACCACTTTGAAGCCAGGACAATAAGCTTGTGATTCCAGAGTTTATACAGAGACACACAAGTATTCAACTAGAAAATTCTCCAGTTTCAAAAGGAAACTTGTACAGAGCCTTTTATTCCAGTATTTGCTTAGATAAATCTGTATTAGCAATTAAATCCTTCAGGTTCACAGAACATCCTCAGCACAGTGAGAGGTTTTCACAGGGGCTCCCATCGT